GACCCGTCTGACTACATCCAGGAGAATGACAACAGGAGATTGGCAGAGGTTGAGGATTGGCGCCTGGACAGCAGTGCTTTCGTTTTGAGGACGAGGATTGGCGCCTTGTTCACCAGCAGGTTGAGGATTGGAGCCTGAACCTGGAGCAGCTGCACAGCCAAAGCCTTCGGGACTATGAGTACAGCTTCAACTACAGCACGGACTTTGTCTTGGCCATGGACCACACGAAAGTGAACTTCCAATGGTATGTTGCTTCTTTCTTCCTTGAGCCCAACTTGACAATGTGCTTGAGTTTAGTCGTGGTGCTTCTTTTCTGGGAGTCAGGACTTTGATGATCCAGGAGGTGAAGAACAAGAAGACGAAGGTACTCAGTCCGGGCCACTTGAGCTGCAGAAGCCAGGATGATGCAAATGACAGAAGCGGCTACGCAGGCTGCTCAAGCTTGGTCTGCCATGATGGAGAGATTTGAAGGCAGGAAGAAGGACAGCAGCAACTTCGGTGAGGCCAGCAAAGTGCTGAAAGCTCCAGATGTTCTTGAAGGAGACGACCCTCTAAAGTATGTGTCATGGAAGGAGCAGTTCACAAATTGGCTCGTTTACGGAGACCATCGCTTTGCAGAGCTGCTTCGTGATGTGGAGAACCTCAACGAGCCATGCCAGCTTTCTGACTTTGCATCAGATGAGGTAAAAGAGATGGCCCACCGACTTTACTCAATTTTGGCCTCGTACATTCGAGGTCCTGCTCTTCAGCTTGTCAGGGCAGAGGCTGGTGAGAAGAACGGGTTTTTAGTGTTGCAAAACCTGAAGAATTTGTACCAGCCGAAGGCAAGACCACGGAGCATGGCAATCGGACAAGCAATAATGAATCTTCCCTCCTTTCCGCGTGAGAAAGGGATGCTTGAAAATCTCCTCCAACTGGACTTGCTCCTCGAGCAGTACAGACTATCGTCTGGACACGCAATGCCAGACGATTTAGTTGTGTCCACAGTTTTGAGGTGCCTTGAACCAGGTCTTCGCCGGCATCTCGAGATGACGATGGATGACACGGTGGACTATGAGAAGCTCAAGGACAAGCTGGTACTGCTCGATAAGAATGTTCGTGCCTGGAGTGGAGACTCCTACCTCAAGATGGTTCAGAACTCGATGGCGCAGAGCTCAGGAGGACCAGTTCCCATGGAGGTTGATCAAGTCGGCCAGATCAAAGGCAAACAGAAGGGTAAGTACAAGGGAAAGGACAAGAAAGGTGGTGGATGGTTTCCCTTCGGCTATGGCGGCAAACAAGGTGGCAAAAGCTTCCAAGGAAAGGGAAAGAAAGGCAAAGGGAAGAAAGGTGGCAAGAAAGGCAAGAGCAAATTTGGTGGCAATGGAAAGGGCAAAGGCAGTGGACAAGACAGAAACACCTGTCGCATCTGTGGCCAGTCCGGTCACTGGGGTAGCGAATGTCCCAACAAGCACAGAGCCCAGACAGTCACCAACCAGAGCCATGCAACTGCCAGCGCGACAGTTGAGAGCGACATTGCTATAGCAGTGCTGGTGGAAAGATGTCAGTGGCTTCAGCTTCAACCTCAGCTCACAGCAATCAACCACAAGTTCGCCAGGTGAGAATGTACCATTTGAGAACTCACCTATGCTGTTTGATTTGAAGAGTGAAGGTGGCGAAAGCTGGATCTATGACGACAACTACCAGGTCAACACAGTGCACTTTGTTCTTGGAGATGAGTCTGACTTTGAGAGGTCACCATGTTCCCTGGACCGAACTGCCCGGTGGTTGCAGAATGTTAAGGTGGTTCGCTATGCCATCCAAGAAGAGGATCTAAAGAAGGTGGAGAAGTTTCAAATCTGCACGGTGAGTGAGAGCAGTCAGAGAACTCTCATTGTTTTGGACTCAGGAGCAGACATAAGTTTACTTCCTCAGTCGATGGCTAGCTGTGGCGGATCGAACGGTTCAGGAAGAGCAGTGCTAGAGGATGCACAAGGTGGACGCCTCATGACCTATGGCAAGAAGCTGGCCCAAATTGAGTGTGATGGTGATCAGGAGACGGTGGTCATCGAGGACGACTTTGTGGTTGCTTCGGTCCAATGTCCTCTGATCAGCTTGGGACGACTGTTGCAACGAGGATGGAAGCTGATGCCAGGATCTGGAGAGGCAGGTGTCCATCTACAAGCTCCCGACGGTGCTTGTTCAGTTCCACTACATTTCAAGAGGAATTCATTGGCCCTCTACGGAACGATCAGTAGGGTTTGCCAAGAACCAGGAGAACTTTGTGGAGGTGGAGCTTCGAAGTCCCTTGATGACGATGAGGTGTTGGTGGTCCGAGTGGTGTTGAAGTTGAATGATGATGGACTTCGAGCATGGCGGACAACAAAGGACGGCGACCCCATGAAGTTCTGCTGCGAGACCAAGAATTTCGTAGATGGCCAACTCATGTGGAACTTGAATTGGTGGCCGTTGAGATCCGCTTGTGGAGCATTGCAACAGGTACTACACTCAAGAAGAACCTGATGCTGAGATGCCAGAGTGCTGTGGGATGGATACCCAAACTTTGACCATCCTGCACAGGAAGAAAGAGCCAGTGTCTTTCTTTGGCAGCGTTGTTGCCAACTTCGTCTACCTTGGGGCCCATAATGGTGATATAATTTCGGCCTTGCCAAAGCCATCCTAAATACACCTCCAAAGCGATGTTTGCGAACTATTTTGGCTCCAAATGGGGGACAAGTGCAGCCATCTAGGCGCGGCTGTCTTACGGCTGCGTTGGAGCCATCTTGGGGCTGACTTCGTCTACCTTGGGGCCCATAACGGTGATACAACTTCGGCGTTGCCAAAAGCCAGCCAAAATAAACCTCCAAAACGCTCTCCCCAGTGGCCCTGCAGCCCAACCAAGAATCAACGCAGCAACCACCCCAAAACACAAAAACTCCTCCAAAGCGCTCTCCCATGTGGCTCTGCAGGCACGACGTAACGAAACATCATCCAAAACGCTCTCCCCAGTGGCCCTGCAGCCCAACCATAGCCGCGCGCGCGAACAAAAAACACCCCCCTAGCAGAGCTATTTGCATAGGCGGCAGAGCTCAAGAGCCCCAATAGCACGCCCTGCACCGACAAGCGGTGTGGGCGGATTTTAGGTGCCCCCCCCCAGATCCATGGCAGAATCCCCACGGAAGAAAGCTGAAAGCTAGCCCTTGCGCAGAAAGGCACTTGGAGTCAAGTCTGTGGCAGCCAAATCCCTCCAGTACGTCAGTGCGTCAGGTGCCGGCGGACAGGACACCTTAGAGTCCGATCCGTCTGATCCAACAGGATCTAGTCGATGCAGGTGCCTCCCATCCGCGCTGTGCAATCACATCCATCCTTTGAAAGTAAGCTGTTTGGCCATCATCTTTCACACGCGCGCAAACCCAACATTATCAACCTTGATGCCCATGGCGTTCATAATGTAGAACATAGGGTTCAATGAGTATATGATGCCACCACAGGCTCTGACTTAGCTTTGGAGCTTTCCTTTGAGACGCGGGAGATGATAGTATATAAGACCAGCTTGCGCAAACTCTTCCCCGCAACATGTCTTTCACTTCAACCATGGTGTACTCCTTGGCTTCACTCCCATGCTTGCGTTTGGGCAAAATCTCAAGTCTCTGTCTTGGTTGCAAGACTCGCATTCCGTCAGTGATCTTTGGAGAAGGGCTGGGCATGTTGGTGGCCATCACTGCAACCTGAAAAAAGGAAGCAACGGGCCGGCCGGTGCAGCAATCTGATGCCAACTGGCCATAATTAATTTGGCTTGTGATGTTCTTGCAAGCAGACACAATGGTCTTTGCAAGTTCACTGTCTAATTGGGCTGAGTGGGTTGAGTTGGATAGGTTCAAGGTTTGCTGCGCAAAAAGTGGTAGGCTTGGCATTGCCTATTCAGCAAAGAGTTGATGATGAGCCCATGTGCGCCCATCTTTCACAATGAAACTCAATTCAAAATGCTTGTGGGTGAGGAACACACACACACACACTTTGAAGGAGACTGCGAAGCAAGTTCTGGAGTAAGAATGCCTCGGAGGATGCCCTTGCAAAACTGAGTGCTGTGTGGACAGGATACAGTATGAATCCTGTGACCTTTGGGGCGCAATCCAGAGTGCAATCATTGGCTGCGTGACAATTTAGGTTCATGCCTCTGAAAGATCCTGCCAGCAGCAGCGCCCTGCAGCGGCGCAGCACTGCAGGGTGCCAGAGCACCCAAGCCCCTCCAAGCGGCGCCCGCCCAAGCCTGCCCCCAAACGCGCGCATCGCCGACGCACTCTCTTGCTAAACACAGCCAGCCGTCGGACACCGCCACAAAGGCGTGGCTGATAAGTACCTAACCATTAGTTGTGAACCTCAAATCCTGGGTGAAGTCACAAATTCCTGCTGAGGCTGCGCATTTTGGCGGAAGTCGCAAAGCAACGACTTTACTGAGCAGGCCAGCATTGAGGCCTCATTTAAGTTCAGGTGAGACAAAAAGAAGGTCCAACCGCCAGGCAAGCTATATGTATATATACACTTTTTTTATGCACGTCTCAAACACATTTCGAGACAGTGTCAAAGGCAACGACCGATACCGTTATGAAACAAATGGGATGCTTTCTGTGGGCTGCTAGAACCGATTTGACCCTTGCAGTGCGCTGCCACATGACTTCACGTGACCCTTGCTTGAAGGGTAGGGTGGCGCACCGCAGAAGTGGCCTCGTGGCCCCCATTGCTCACCTTTCTGGGCACATTTTGGCCTTGTTCTTTGTGGACCGTATGGTGGCGTGGCTACCGGACCCATTGGTTGGAGCCTCTTGAATCGTCCTAGGTCCCATTTCGCACTGCATTTTCCATCGCTATCTTGGACCAAGTCCAAATCTGCGATTGTCGAACAAAATCTGGCGCAAAAGGGCGTGTCCTGCGAGAACTATGTTGTCTAGCCGATTAGGCTTAACTTTTTAGTATTTATAGCTGTGATTTTGTGCACGGAATGGCTGGAACAATTCAGATTTCAAGTCTTCATGGGAGTTGGAGATCTTTCATTGTAAAGACTAGTATAACTGGATGTAACTAGTGTATTGATTGAACTTCAGTAGACCGTTCTTCAATCTGCCACAGTTTGTTCAGATTTGTTTCTTGCAGGTACGGATGCCTGACAGACACAGATGTCATAAGTACAGTCTATAGTATATCAGTATATTCTTAGTGGTTGTTCTCACCTGGAACAGCAGGTGTTTGAGTCCTTGTTCATTCCGTTTACCTGCAGCTTTTACCTGCAGCTTTCAGCACAAAGTCCAGCTTTGCTTCCTTCGAAGTTTTGCGGCAACTAAGCACCTTGAGCATCAGGTGCTCAGCCATGCGCAGCTTAGTAGCTACCCTCTTGGCTTTGGGTCACTTGGAGAGTTGTAGAGCCAAAGATTCGAGAGCCGAAAACTCATTCCAGTAACATTTGGCTGCTCAGGCTGTTTGCAGCCTCTCCAAGTGGCCGCAACATGTTTGGCCAACGGAACGGAGCCAGCAGCATTGAAGAATCTGGTGACATGGCAGAAATCATGCGATTGTCGCAGAGGCTTATCGATCAGCAAGTGATCCAACTTGTCAAAGATTTCCGGAGATCAACAAGCGGTTTGAAAGACACCAAGAGAAATTCACACGTGCAGCGATCGATTTCCTTGAGCAAGCGTTCGCAGAACTCACCCATTCGGGCCGCGGGTGTGCGGAATCGAACACTCCGTCGGAATGGCCTCCAACCGAATAGCGATGACTTCGATCCCAAGAGCGATGGCCTCTAACCTAAGCGACGGCCTCCAACCTAAGAGCGGCCATGGCCTCCAACCTAAGAGCGGAGGGCCTCCAGATGGCCTCCAACCTACTAGTGATGGCCTCCCAACCGAAGAGCGATGGCCTCCACTCCAACCTGATAGCGATGGCCTCCAACCTAAAAGCCATGGCCTCCAACCTAATAGCGACCTCCAACCTAAGAGCGATGGCCTCTAGCCCAAGAGCGATGGCCTCCAGATGGCCTAAAGAAAGGCAATAAAGGCCGCCAAGTCGTCTGGCTCGTAGACTTTCACAGCTTTGCCAGAAGCTTTGAGGTCAACCCAAGTGGCGAGGCGTATCCAGTGCCCAGGCCTTAGGTCCCAGTGCGGCTAGGCCCACCGCTTTTTGGACCGTGGGTTTTTTGCCCCTTCAAAGATTCGGCGCCGGACATTCTCCCACACCTCGCGACGCTAAGGGGGCTCTTTGTCGGGAACTGGCCGGGCGGCTTGGCTACCAGCTCTCTTGCAGGCATCCTCATTCAGGAGCGTCGATCTATCTCTGACAGACCGGATTCGATGCTTTTGGACCCTTTCGTGGGAACCGAATCTGGCCAGAACGAATCTGGTCTCTGAATCTCCAATCTCGCTGACGAGAGTGAATTAGTTGACGAATTTATCCCCAGGACCAACACCACATAAAACATCAACGGCAAGGAAATCGTGTTGAACTTCAACAAAATCCTAAGACGCAACATAGCAGCAACCAAGCCCCAAAATCCCAGAACCATCCTTTACTTTTTCTTCCACATTCGAAGTGTCACCGCTTTTCTTCGAGGGGGAGGGCAGGGTAGCGCCCACTCTCTTCAAGGAACACTTGGGGTGCTCCCACTTGAAAGAGAGGGTCACCTTTGTCTAGGGCAAACCTGTCCAATGCTCTGGTTTAACATCGCAATGAGTCCAAGTCCGGTTTGCCAATTTGTGCTCACCCTTGGGTCGAGAATCTCGGCTTGGTGACGTGTGGTGTGAATTGGAGGGAACAGAGTAGACAGCCCAAACATGCGCTCCCATGACTGGAATGCGGAATATGCGCCGGAGTGCAAAAGTGGAAAGCATTCAACACGGTCTCATAATTCCTCCAGAGTTGTGAAAACATCATCGGACACAAACAAGTGCATGTGGATGCATGTAGCTTGCGTTAAACAGTGTCGATATCTCACATGCAGACAAAGTAAGAAAATGCGCGTAAACGTTTTTGAAATGTGGGAACTGCTCAAACTCTTGTCCCGTTCTGTTGGAAGAGGACGGCGCGTTGGAGCCAAAATTGAGATTGATTTGCCGGGCAAACTCGTGGTTTTATTCGGTGTTCGGGTACAAAAATTGTGTGACCTTAGGATCCTTAGGCAAACACCGGTGTGTTTATCCAATTCTAATCCTTCTTGTTCCCGTTCTTTCATATTCTGCCTTCTTCAGAGGATTTTTGTTGGATGTGTCCTTGCTCAAACTGTTTACGAGTATATAGACCTGCGCATTAACCGCTGTGATCTGATTGGGTTGACGTATAATGAACTATCAGAAGAAATCCCTCGTCTAGAACCATAGCCTGGGCATTGTGTACTGACATGAAGTGAAGGGCCTGAAGTCACGCACGCAGGGATTCAGTTAAAGCACTTTTGGATGTCAATCCTGTGCTAGGGAATCGTAATGTAAACAATTGCATCATCGGAAATAGACATGTCGAAAGAGACATCTCCGATCGAACTGTGAGCGTAGCCATTTTGGCTCAAGTGTGCCTGGAAAAGCTGAGGTTGCTTTCCATGGTCGCGACCGATCGACCGTTCGCGATTCGAGAGCTGCCCCTATATTGATAGAACCAGGTATACAGCCACAGGTCCAGAGCCACAGACACGGTAAAAACAACATTTTTCAAAAAAATATGCGGAATGCACGTTCAACGCTGGAAAACATGGGAAATGATCTCACCTGTTTTCCGAAAGCTGATGAACTGGGGCACACTTGTTTTGAAGAGTTTGCAGAAAAACTACAAAGAAAAATCCAATCTGTCTATGCCACAAACTTGTGAGGAGATGCTGGGCTACAATGTGAGCTACAATGGGCCAGGCGGCAGCACGACTCACGGCATGTATGCGATTAGTGGCTGTCGCAACCCCACCGCCACGACTGCAGAGGAGCGTGGCTGCGACGCGAAGGCCAGGCTTGAAACAGTGCGAACTACGCTTATGAGCCGTAGCTTTCATACTGAGAGAATCTGAAGCATGTAGAAACATGTATATGTATACCAACCTTCATGAGTCACGGTGTATACCAATCTTCACAACATATGTTTTGCTCTTTTCGTTCCACTCTTTTCCATTTTGGTGATGTGTTCTGGAGTTGTAGATTCCAATTTCCTCACCAACTCGAGACATGGCGCGCAAGTAGCGAACCGACATGAGGCGCTATCAAACCTGGATTGGATGCACGAATGTAGGCCTGTAAATGTAGCTTTATGGTAGAGCTGTGCAGGCCACCAGCTGAGCTGTACACGCCTGACAAATTGTTTTCCTCATACACATGATGCTGCTGAAAAAGACACATATCATATGTTTCCGTTTTTGCCTTACATAGGATTTGCGTATTTTCCTTTATCTTGCGATTTTTTACCTTTTCATTTTACCTAAAGTTAGGTGGAAAGTGGCCAACAGAAGCTGCGCAAGGAAAAGCGCGCCAAAGGCAACAAATGAGCACATATGAACGGACGATCAAAATAACCGAATATGCAAGAAAAGACCGTGAAGCAACAAGGCATGACAAGAAGATTGCAAGAAATGAACATGACACGAAAGAACGGAAACAGAATAGGAATGGGATTGAACTGGAATTAACAAGGAAAAAATCAACAAAAGGGACTTGCAAAGGACACATGACATGAGATCAAAGCAACACACAAAGCCAACCACGGCGTGGAAAGGGAAGGAACAAAAACTAGAATTGAGCGTCTTCTTGAGCCAAAGCTGGTACACTCCCGGATTGGTGTGCATCATCGTGTTTACAGCCCCAGATTTTCCAAGGGTATCGTAGAGTCACAACAGCCTGCTTTTGTTCGCAGAGCTGTGGTCTGAAACGACTGAGCCACGCAGGGCAATGCCATCGTTAAAGAGCTTGGAGAAAGGTAAACTACCTGGGAAAGCGTCTTCATTTTTGGCTGCTTTGCATGCAACAAGGTGCTGCGCCTGGCAACTGGCTTGAAAGTTGAGCTTTAGCTTTGGTCGTTTGCGAAACTCCCAGTTTACAGCATCTTGACTATCTCCACGATGTTGTATATGATCACTCCAACATCACCATTTTGAGGCCTATGTAGTCCATCACCCTTTTCTTTTTTCCATTGCCCTTGTCTCCGCCTTCGTCTCCTCGCTCCAAGAAGAACCGGCAAGTCTTGTGTTCATGATGCACTCTCTCCGCTGCTCGGACCATAACCCCCTTATATACCTGAATTCATCTGAGCATTCATTATCACCCAGTCACATTTTCTCAAGATAGGTCGCACCCCTCAAGTCCACCCAGAGCCCAAACATGTCCCTACAACCAAAGCGCAAAAGATGCAAGTTACATTCCTTACATCACCATCCGATACCGCCACATGCACTTCCATGATGGAGACGAGTGGTCAATGCGGTTAGCTGGGCAGGTCATAGGAGGCGGGGGCTAGTTGCGAGCGGCCAATTGCCAAGAACTAATCCGAAGAACCATTGCTTGAGTAGCTTGGGTAGAACTTGATTGTATTTGCAAAATGGGCATATTTGTGCGCAACACGATTCCCGCCCCAAGAGCCCTGCAACAGCGAGGCAGGAGATACACTCCATACCTTCGCCCAGAGTGCACTCACCTAAGCTGCCCCGGCCTGCTTGGTGATGCTCCTGGTTTGGTAGTCCTGGAATCCCCGAAGTGATTGTCACATCAATCAGAAGTACTATATAATGCCCCAACTACTCTTCTAAAATCTTCTGTGGCCCCATCATCATGCTCTTCATCGCCTCGGCCTTCTGCCCTGCCATTTGGATAAAGGCTAAAATTAAAATGCTGCCGCTACCCAAACGCTCCACCAATGGGAACTGTGGCCCAAAACTCCTGAACATGGCACCCAAACGCTGGTGTTTTCTCGCTACAACCAAGGGTCTAGCGATGGCCTCCATCCTAGTAACGATGGCCTCCAACCTAGAAGCGATGGTCTCCAACCTAGAAGCGATGGGGTAAGAATTTCGATGAACGACCCTTCAAGACACCGATGCTGCAACTTTTCACATTTTCAATACGCACCCAGATACAAGGCTGCGAGCAACGAGGCACTCTGGTTTGCAGTGCCCAAGGCAAACGTCAGTTACTTTGCTATAGAGAGATGTTCCACCTGATGGGCCCTGTCAAATCCTTCAGTTGCTGGTAGGAAACACCACTACGAAACAACCAAAGTCATCAAGCCACTATCACAGGAGGGCCACCGGGCTCGATCCGAATCCTGAGCAGCTCCAAACGTCAACGGCGACAACTCTTGAAACATCAACGTTCCGGATTGGGAGGGACCTACTTCGTTCGTTTCGCGGCCTGTTTTCGTTTGCGAGGTGACCTACAATCACATCACCATGGAAATGTGGGAAGCTTATCCATCGCTCTGGGCCGATCTGCAGAAGAACAAGGCCATGGCGCCCAAGGCGTTGACGTCCATGGGCTATGATGGAAAAACCTCCACGTACCTGCTGAAAAGCGTGCAATTTGGCGCTGAAAAGGACCGTTTTCTCGTGCAATAGTTCTGGGTCTGTTTTCTTTTTGTTGACGGTTTGTTGCTTCTGTTGTTTTGTACTGTTTTGTGTTTTTGCAATGTCGGTGTCAAAATGAGCCTTTGCTGCTTTTGTCCCTGCTTTTTTCTGTTGATTGATTTCACGGGTCGCTTGCACTGCTTTGTTTTGTGGCTTTTTCGCTTGTGCTCCTCTATTTCAACCTTTTTCGTTTGCCTTTTTGGTGTTTTTGCACCGTATTCAGTTTGCTTTGCTTTTGATTCAAGCATCAACAAGTCCGCGTTGGTTCCGCGTCCTTTTGAACACTTGCGTTCTTTCCGGGTGCCAGGCAAGAGTCCGTGGCCGAATCTGAAGGGTTGCCTTTGGAGTTCTACACCTCATACAATGCCAACTGGTGGAAGCCATGGCTCTATTTTGACAACACCTCCTCGGTACCTTGGGGCGTTTTTGCTTTACAGAATTCTTGAGTTGACTTGGCTACGAATGCAGCTACCTAGAGGGTAAATTTGGTGTCAAGCAAGACCACATCCATGGAACAGTAGTTGTGAGATATTTGTTTTGCGGTTCAAGACGATGAATCAAAGTGTGATGGGGAAAACTGTGTTGCAAATGGTGACTATGGAGCGGATAGAACGAGATGAAGAAGGGCCCGAATACACAGAAAGACAGTTTTGTGAGAAACCAGTGTTCAGTAAGAATGCAAGTTAGACTCGAGGTGAATGAGCTAAATTGCTGCGCAAGCTAGGTAGTGCAAGTTTGCAGTGCAAGTAAGGCATTGCAAGAGAAACAATGCAAGTTAACCAGGCAAGTTGGATCGGATAGCAAGTTAAGCAATGCACGTTAGGCCCCAAACATGGTGCAATGGGTGGGTCTCGGCGTACATACTGCATATTCTGCAGCGTTTCTACTTTCCTCACCGCCGCCAAGGTCAATGCGACCAGGTTCCTCAAGAAGTGCAGCGAGACACAAATCTTCTCGGATAGCTTGATGCGGAACTACCTGGCGCAAACGGGTGATAGTGCTGGAGTGCAGATCATTGATGGTGCAGTGCCGGGGCTCAAGCCAGAATAGATATGAAGATAGGGCGCAGCGGCGCAGCAGCGCAGCAAACATGCTTTGAGGGGTTGCGAAGGGGGGTTGCGAATATGTTCAAGCTTCTCCCGAGCTCCACGGACTGCGTTGACCACATTTTTGATCATATTTTATGAACATCAAAGGTGGAGCGCCAGATGCAAGAGATGTTTCCGTGTGTTCTCGACAGGCTTGTTCAGTTCTTGATCCTTTCCTTGAGGTGACGGCCATGAAAGCATGTTTTTTGGGTGCGTAAACGGCCAAGATTGTCTAGCATGCCAAAATGCAGGTAGCAACATTGTAGGTTTCAGATTGTTTGGCTGTAACATCTGGAGCCGAACAGGATGAATGGAATAATTTTTCAAGATATGTCGATTTGACGTAGTCATGTAGGAGACAATATGAAGCCGCCTTTGGCCCAGGTTGTGGGTTCGTGTCCTGATGAGTACTTTTGGAGGGCGCCAAGTTGTCGTAACGAGACCTTCAAGTGCGTGATCTTCTTCACAGGCGGTGCTGGTTGGAGCGTTCACCTGATCATGCAGCAAGCAACTGCTTGGAACATGCCGATTGCTATGGCAATTGCCAACACATGGGGGGATTTTGCTGCAATGCCAGTGGCTCACCGGAGCCTTTTCTATTGGTGGGAGCCAGATCCAACTTTCCTGGAGCTGGCGCCAGTTGAGGTGATTTTCCCACCGCATGACAGGGTTGGCCATGCCAATGGAGATTTAAAAACAGCTCCGAGCACCATCAGACTCACCAAAGGCGTCAGCAAAGACTTGTTGTCACTCGCTCCCAGAGTGGAGAATTTTCTGGTGAACATGGAAATCAGCATGGCCATGATCAATGCAATCATGCTGGACCAGAAGAACACAGGAGTTCGTTAGTGGAGCACAGTTTGTGTTGTTTGATGCGTTTTGATGCTTGCGGAGTCCTAATCTGACTTGTCTTTTTGGGTTCAGCGAAGTTCAGCAAGCTTTCTAGATCAGGAGATTCCTGGGACGATGTCACCTGCCGATGGCTCCAAGGCAACAAAGCCACGTGGGAATCATGGTTACCAGATGATACCACTTGTTTTGCGGGCTTTGGGCTCGTTGACATCGAGTCTGGAGAGCTTGCAATGGATAGAACTGTTCGCGAGGGCAAAAGGTGCGGGCTGGGATGGAACCATCGAACACATTCTTCTTTGTGGACGCAAAGGGGAGGAAGTTGGCTCGGAGATACACCATACTCCAACTGTTTTTCTTTAAAACGTTTGTCAGGTCAGATGCCAAAAAATGTGTGCCAATGTCACAAAATTCGGTCAGGTGCCAAGCTTGCCCCAGCGGTACCTTTTCTGAGCGCTTGGTGGACTCCATCGGCGTGACCTACATCTGTTCCGCATGCCCCTTGGGCACCAGCCAGGCTTCGGGAGCCTCGCTCAAGTGTGAGCCCTGTGACAAGGGCACATACCAAGACGAGCTGGGAAGCCAAAGCTGCAAGCGTTGTCCCCTGGGCACCTATCAGGATCAAGAGGGTCAAGCCCAATGCATTGCGCCTCTTGTCTTCAGATGACGGCAAGCGCTGGAACCGCGCAGGGAGTTGTTGGCCATACGCGTGTGGAAATGTTTTTGATGTGCAGAAGGTATAGCGGTTGTTTTGCGGGTCCCGGTTTGTGTTTGCAATTGGCCTTCGGTAGAAGGGTTTCATGCGCATAGCGGTAGAATTGAGCGAATTGTTTTGCAGGTGGCATTGCAGCAGAGGGATTGTGCCGAACTTCGCTAAAGGACGCTAAAGGTGCAATTTCGATCCCCACAGAGAAGAATTGCTTAGATTGCGTCAGCAATGTAGGGCCCCACAAGAAATGTGCGTGGTAAGGCTCTTTGGTGATGTTGAGGCTATGCGGTATATTGAGGCCATGTTGGGGCTTTTTGGTGGGGTCATGTTGGGTCATTTTGAGGCTTGGTTGATGTAGCGGCAAATGTTACACCGAAGTGATCGCCTTGCGTAAAATTGCGTAAATACACAGCCTTACCAGAAAAAAGTGCCACTTAGGGACCCGCAACAAAAACCATGGACTTTAAGAGATGTATAAAAGGGGCCCACGCACACAAAATTCATTATCGCAACACATGGAGAAGGTGCGGAAGGTGCGCGCATTGATGTACTATGCAGCAACATCATGGAGAGCGCGAAAACCATGAAGTACACGGCTTGCTCTTCATGTATTGCGTGGCGACAAAATATGGTCAAGACCAATGTAGTATGTGCCACAGATGTACCCCAACAAAACTGTAAGGGGTGCAAACTTTCACGCCGTCATTTATTATGCATCGGGTCCGTTTTGATACTTGCAACTTGTAAGTTGAGGCAGTCGCCGTGATGCCAAGAAACATCTCACAATACTTGGGACTAGATACCGCCGGTCCCTCAGGTGCCCGGATGGAAGCAGCACGCTGGGCTTGGGATCCGTGGCGTTCACCGATTGCGGCTGCGTTGAGGGTCGCATTGACGTTGCGCCTGCAGGCGTTCGCTCAGGAAACGTGTCCGCAAACGGAACATGTTATGAGAGCGCTTGATCCGGCGATGTCCAGAAGTGCGAAGTGCCGAGTTGAAAGAAAATTGTTCTGTTTTCATGACCAGTGGTTGCACCTTTCATGAACCCACGCTGCGAAACGGAACGATCTTCGCCTAAATTCCAAGACCGCCTTGATGTATTACTGTGGTGGTTGGTGAAGGGCCAGTTGATGCCTTGGCAGGTCTGACGTGCGAGGTTTGCAGCGTTGGCTTGACTTGTCCCGCCATGGGGACACTGGAGAGTTTCTTGGAGAGGTGTCAATCAAAAACCCAGAGCCACGGGGTTGGCGCCAATACATGCAATTCCTTGTTCGACTTCGATCCAGTCGTTTCTTGGCAGAATGCCCAGGTTATGAGACAGGCGTGCATCCTTTGGGCACGAAGTACTTGCCTATTGTGGATGCAGGCTACTACACCACGGCAGCTGAGCCCTTGAAGGTTTGGGTTGGAAGGGATGACGCGGCAAATAGTGATCCGGCAAAAACAAGAAAACACTATAGGCTTCACTTCAGAGGGATTCAGCAGGCCACCAACCAAGACATGAACTCTTGTTTTCATTTTGTGGTCTAAAAGAGGGTTGTTGCGCTGACAAAGCGCTTAGGACACCACACCCAGTTGCAAGCACAATGTAGTACGTGCGAGAAGCATTACTTCTTGCCCCGAGCAAGGGGGCTTACAGCGCCTTGGAGATTGCAGAAGTTTGCTGGAAGAGTGAAGAAACCATCGCAAATGACAATAACATGTTGCTCTTGGGCCCCCTCCTACATCAGTACGCGCATGTGGAAAGCAGGTTCCAGAGGACGCACTTTTGGGAAGTGCGGTCATCTGACGGGGTAGCCTTGTTTTCAATGTGTCCAGTACGATTCACATCAACCCTGGGAGGTCTACAAGTGTGGCAAGACCTGGCACTGCCCAGGTGGCGTCCCAGACTCTTGTGCAGGTGGTCGCGCTGGAGTGCCATGTGCTGAGTGTCCACAAGGCTCGAGCAGAAGCTTGTTTTGAGTCTTGGGGTTGAGTTCAGCGAAGAAGTGGTAATGAAACTTGAGAAGTTCCTCGAAATCTATCGAGCCTTGCAGTTATTAGTGTTCATTTGCGCACTCTATCCAGCGTCCACCAGAGCAGGTAAGACATGGAGCGAAGGACAATGCATGGAATGTGAAGCATGGAGGCAAATCCTTTGGGTCGGGGACTGAGCCGAACATAAAGATGTATATACGGTGAAAACATCGTCGGAACAAGTGAAACACTGCTTCCTTCCCCACTTGCTTGCTTAGGGCATCAGCGTGGTGGGAGTCTTCCTTTTCCTTACGGCATCCTATTATTTGATGACTTCAAAGGTGACGGCTAAGGTCAGGTCGCTGGTTGGATGTTTGGAGTTTCTGTGTCGTTTGAGAGACTTCCTGCGTGTCACGGCACTTTAGATTCCTTCGTGTCGTGACAGAGGCATCTAATTATCCAAACAGATCATGTTCTGTTAAGTTTATATATATATAGTTATGTTGGTCGTGAATGGAGGTGAAGAAGTGATAAGAGGTATAAGATTCTTGTGCGAGAGAGGACAATCTTTTGCGCTCATAGCCATGGATGTGTTCTTTTCTTATGTCAGTTAGTATTCGTGGTATTTCAGGGTTTTGCTACTAGTAACAAGGACATTACTGTACCAAATAGTAGTAACAAGGGCATCGCATGATATTTCATGGTTTAAGTTCATATCACATATTCGGAAACTTCAGTGCCGCAAGGCTTCCGTGCTGTTCACTACGACCTGTGCGTTTGGCATGCTGGTGTCCCTCCTCCAGAGTGTTGGGATCATTGGCATGATGACGGTTGAGTGGCCCGTGGATCTCAAGGGTTTCTTCTCCTACTTCCAGGCGACTCAGATCCTGCTGTGGAGTGGAGTTCCTTTGCACCATGGGTGACCAGAACCCACTGAGGGCAGTCCCCATGATTGGCGATAGCAAGTCCGCACATTCTTGCGGTGATTGCTCTCAACAGAGGAAGTTTACTGTGCAAAAAGAACTTCGGAGTTACGGACAAATGCATCAAAGAGCGGGGAGAGATTGGGGGGGTAGACTTAGCGAGCAGAGATAAGAGAGTAGAGAGAGATGGTAGAGAGAGATGGTGAGAGAGAGAGAGAGTAGAGAGAGAGAGAGAGAGAGAGTAGAGAGAGAGAGAGAGAGTAGAGAGAGTAGAGTAGAGAGAGAGAGAGAGAGAGAGTAGAGAGAGAGAGAGAGAGAGAGTAGAGAGTAGAGAGAGAGAGAGAGAGAGTAGAGAGAGAGAGAGTATATAGAGAGAAAAAAGAGAGAGAGAGAGAGAGTAGAGAGAGAGAGAGAGAGTAGAGAGAGAGAGTAGAGAGAGAGAGAGAGTAGAGAGAGAGTAGAGAGAGAGAGAGAGAGTAGAGAGAGAGAGAGAGAGTAGAGTAGAGAGAGAGAGAGAGTAGAGTAGAGTAGAGAGAGAGAGAGTAGAGAGAGAGCATGAGTAGTTAAAGTCGACTTTTCGTGGCAGGCGTGAGGCGTCATGCAATTTTGATAGTGAGGATTTCCGCCCGATGCCACGTTTTCACAAGAACCGTTCTCCGCTCATGTCAGTCTAGGATTGTGGTGTTTGCGGCAGGTGTGGTCCGTGACCGTGATCGATTCATGCTTGGAAACGTGCGTGCAGTAAATGGGAGTGTGTTTCGCGTGTGCCAGCTCGCATAAAGTGAGTTTTCACAATGTGTTGCTTTGAGGGCTGAAAAGTCATCGTGGCAGGCGACGGTCACCGTGCATGTTTGAAATTGCGGCTCAGCTTGCCAAAAGCGTTTTGCGTTTGCATGCTCGAATAACGTGAGGTTTCGTCCTGTCTTGGGAGCTGTTTCTCTCATTGTACTATAATGGCTGTGCTAGCTGCTAGGGCTGCGCTGGCGGAAGTTGAGAGTAACTGGAGTGGCAGAGAGTAGGTAGTAGCGTGGAGGAGAGCAGCGTACTTGTTTGGTAGAATTAGAACGAAAATAGAGTAAAGTAAAGTAGATCCAAAGAGTTCAATCAGTTTGCGCTTTTCCTATTTTTTCTTGATATGGACATTTCCGCGGAGATGCCTTGTGCAGCTCTGCTGGTGATCTAAACTGTGGTCCCATGGCTTTGGCAGAGGGGGTGGGACCGCCTTCCTTCGCAGGTTCTCTTGTTGGACCTCGACAGCTTCGGTTTTGCCTGCTTCGCCGGCGCTGAAACGAGCTTTCGCTACATCGTCCGCTGGATGCAGTTTTGGGATGTGATGGTGAAGAAACGTCCAATGGGGTGGAACCTGATGTGATGGTAAGAGAAGACTCACAAGCACCTCCTTGTCCAATCCTTTTGATTTGTTGTCTGTGGGTTTTTGGAGCTTGGTTAGAGCCTGTTCTGATGACAAACACCTTCCGTCTTTTGCTGCCTAGTGGCCTAGTGCAGCTCAGTTCTTTTTCCACATGACCCGGTGTAGCTAGGAATGCGGATATTTTTGTTCGTCCAGAACCCACAATGGGCACCTTTGCGTGGTGAGTCCAGTGAAATGGTGAGAACACGTGAGGACCATCCCACATGGCTCGGAACCCGTAGCTACCTAAGCGTCAGAGCTGGAAAACAATTTGATTCAAACAGTTCGATATGCCTCCTTTTGCTCCTTCCGCAGCTTTCACCGGGCACGTCAGATGACAGTTTGAGCAACAAGACGTTGTTTTCGTCCGAGCTTCAAAGGACCAGCGAGGTCACATGCGCACAATAAGCATACAATAGCTACCCAGGCTACCCGGGCTGTGATTGGCGGCGTCGCAAGGCGTCGCAGCGGTTCTCGTGCCAGGTGAGCGTGGTCTTCTTCCCAGCGGCCGTGTCCTGGTTGGTGATGAACTTCATCTTGAGCAAAGTGCTGCCACAGCATCGTCGCTGGGGTATCACGAAGGTGGCCAGTTGCTCTGGGCAGGTGCTTCAGGTGGGGCAGGGCTCGTGTATTCGTTATCTCCTTCTTTTTGACGTTTGTGGAGTTGTGTTGGCTTTTTGGGAAGTGACACATCTACTTGTGTTGCTTTGTTTTCTTGGTCACTTTCAATTTATCTAAGTTACAAAGCTTCACCGTGTACTTTTGTGTGTTTCTCAAGTGATTGTGTGTGATGTTTGAACACGTCCAAACGATCAACTCATTGAATCGGCCAACATGCTGGATGGCAACTGCGGAGGTTTGCAGTTTGGCTCTAGTATATTTCTTCAAAGCATGAGTGTAATGGCAAGTTCACTTTTGATCTTTCACTTGTTTAATAGCAGATCTTATGCAGGAACCTATTTTCACGTGTTTCTCTTCTACATCAGACGTGACATGTTTGTTATCATGAAGATCTTGTTGCAGTTGAGACAATATTTTGGGCAATTATTTAGCTGCCAACCTTGCTTCTGAACTGCTGCCACGCTTTGCGCCGATGTGGGGCAAAGCGGAAGAGGACCTGCAGCATCCGTCGTTCAGTTTTGCCCATTGATCGGCATCATGATTTCGCTTCCACAGTCTCGCTGGCTGGGAATCCATTCAATGCGCCGCTGGCATCGTTAGATATATGTATGTGTCAATAGACACACCATGGCTTGTATGCAGACTTCTAGAACACACCACACGCCATGGTTTCCTCTTCCAACACACTGTGGTGATGACACCAGTTCACCAGTTCTTCTAAAACAAGAAACATCTTTGGTACAAAAACACACAGGGCGGACTGATGGTTCCAGATGGGTTGCGACTTGGGCTGGTCGGGTTTTGTGGCAGTGGCACTCAGGTCAACGGAATTTTCGAGCACGTCCGCTTCATGTCAAAGGAGTGTTTTGTTCTGGGTGCACTGCCTTTGTATCAATGCTCTACTCTAAAGATGCTGCAATGGAAACCAGGACAGTTGTTCATGGTGAAAGGCAAGGCGCACTCTTTGCGTCGAGATGCCTCCTCGGCTCTGACTGTCCTTCTCATCGTGACTCACAGAGGTGTTGTCAGTCGAAACGGAAGAAAGTACGGTATCATTTCACAACTGTTAACTGCGGAAACTCCGTGTGCTTTTTTGGGGGGCCCTTGATTTCGAGGGAGGCGAGCCGTGGCGTCCAAGCCATTTCTTTTTTCGCCCAAACCTGTGCGTCCTTCGCCTCTCCCAGCGTGTCATGTGCTGTGCTGAAATGCGCTCTCCGACGTCTTGACCTGCTTGAGCCGGAGCTCCATCGCCTGTCCTGCAATCTCCAGAAGCAAGCAGCTCCATCGTAGGACCGGAAGACGGGAGCGATGAAAGGAAAAGGATGGAAAAGGAAGACAAACCTTGGACTTTGTGGCACAGATTATGACACCTTGGACTTCTTCGAGAGCAGAAGACCGCAACTTCGTGTTGGACTTTAATCAAACTGTCAAACAAATTCCAGTACTTTCTGTTGATCTGGTACACTCCGGTATGCTCTAAGAGGAGCAATCTTTAGAAGTGGTGACCACGAGAACCAAAGGCACAATCTTAAGCACAAGAACCCACGCACAAGAAAAGTTGCCATGACAACCTGGCTCTAAGAAAGTAAGACTCCCTATAGCCCTGTAGTCTTTTGGAGAGAGAGAGAGAGAGCAGGTCCTTGATCACCTCTTTCAAAATCGACAGAAAGGCATGATTGACCCGGTCCGCAAAACTAGGAGCTCGAACAGCAAAGAACTCTTCAAAGCGTGGTTCAAGGCACAGCCACCGCAGTCGCTGAAAAGATCACCGACTCAGACAGAAGACTCATCTATCAGAGGTCTGACCGGCCTGCTCGGCGGATGTCAAGCTGCTGAGAGGAGTCTCTCAGCCTAGATCTTGGGCTGATGTGAGATGTGGGCAAACAATTGAGTGTTTGTGTGCTATAACAAGCTTTCATTCATAGATATACAATGTAATATACATATATGTGTCTGCTGTTTTACTTCATTAGGCTTGGTCAGCTTAGAGAAGTTCTTCAGGGGACGTCCTTTAAGGGTGATTGCTCTCCCCCCCCAAAAAAAAACCTGTTCCGAACACATACCAAACAGGTGGTTTTCACTCACTCACTCCACGTGACGATGACGTAACTCACTCCATCGTCACGAGCGATCCGTTGCTCCCGGGGCATGGCAATGAGATTACGATTCTGCATGAGAACAGCGTTTGATATCGTTTCAACTGCATGTCAGCAGCCATTTCATCTGATGGACAAGATTCCTGAGAGCAGTGATAGGTTCTGATATATTTTAACCTATCCAACAGCATGGTATTCTTCAACTGGCAAATAAGAACAAATCAGAAAGCATGACTCATGACTTCTATTCTTGGCAGCTTTTTTACACACATTTTCCACATTGTCTGGCTTTGCTTCACAAGCTGTGTTGCTATGACACCGAGGGTGCGCATACCCTCCGCATTGCTCCCAACCGCGGCATGCTTGGTCCGGTGAAACTCTCCTGACGAGGCCTTTTTTGTGCGCTTTCCTCTTGGAGCCTTGAGCCAAGCGGAAGAGGATCCCCAACTGCTTTGACGGGATCATATGCCTTGCCCTTGTTTTCTGAATGACCCTTGGGCGAAGCCTTTTGATGCCCCAACCTCCCGGAACTTACCACGACGCATCGAACTCGATGTTTTTTGCTCCAGCTGCAAGTTGAAGCATCACAGGCACTGCAGGGGATTGAGACCGCCCTGAAACAGTTGAGACTCAGGTGAGGCGCGTGAAGAGCTTTTTGCCAGTGCTTGGCAGTTAGCACCACGTTGGACATCTGGCAAAGTTGGGTTGATTCAGAACTACACAAAACTTTTTGGTTGCAACATCATTTGGTCTGGAAACTCAAGGTGATGCCCTTGACAGCTTCAGTGAGTTCCAGGTGCTTTTCTGTGTGCAGCACCATCACTGATCGCTTTGAACGAAGCCTTAAATCCAGTGCCATCAACCAGTCCGTGCTGCTCCAGCTGTTTTAGATCTTCAGACTCGCTGCTTCAGCCATTTCATGCGCGGCCATTTCGTTTGGACGCCAACAAAAAGCTCCCCCCAAGGCTAGGTTTCCGCTCTCGCATTTGCGTGAGGCAGTTTGTCCTCCCACCAATGCTGAACGAGAAGAAAGGTTCAAATTTGTTGAACGTGCGAGAATGAAGCTGTGCCTGTGCACACTCGCTTGTCTATTGATGGCCAGTTTTGACCGGACAGAACAAGTGGGTGGCTTGTGAAGGTAGCGCCTGGCCGGGCTGGGGCAAAAGGCCCTGCCTGGCGTACAGAGAGCTATGGTCTGTCTTCTTGGACTACCGGAATTGCGGTCAAAGTTTTCTCTGACTTGCGGTCTCAGAAGCTGGCATTGAGACCGTCATAGTGCCAGCTTTCTTGGAGACGGAGGATAAACAAATCATTTGTCCCGGCTGCACGAGCGTTTCGGAAAGCAGAGAGCTGGCAGAGAGTGTCAAGAGCAGGGCAAACAAGGGCATCAAAAGCGATCTATCAGCTATTCACGAATTTCTCACTATCTCATATGGGAACTAATGTTGCCTCAACTGCAGGGAGATGCTCGGCACCGTTTGTAAGGCTTTTGGAGTTCAACAAGTTCAACACTTCAAATTCTTGTGTGTTCTGTGCCAGCTGAGAGCAGGACAGTGACCTCAATTCTGTGTTGCCTGTCCAAGTCCTTGAGTGAAGATTGCGTCGGTAGGTAGCAGGTGATGACCTCCTTGTGGCCGACCGCAGTCTGCCATGCGGTCATCCGCTACAAATCGGTCGTCTCGGATGGCCAGGGCCTCGCCTACCCCTCACGGATCCTCGTCCGCATCCTTCAAGAATCCTGTCCTCAAAGCCTCAGAAGAAGGAGCGCAAAGCAAAACGAAGCACCCGTTAGACTTCGTCTGTCTTTCGGACGGTCCGGTGCAGTGAAATCGACGATGTTGACGCTTCCCTTGGCATCGAATCGACCGGTGAAAAAGCCTGGTTTTTGAGCGCCAAGCCACATCCACCTGGCTTGCGCAAGAGTGACCCCGGGCCTTTCCTTTGTCTTGACTTCGGCCTGGTGGGGCGATTTAGGGCGGCCTGGCTTCATTTTTCAAGACCACGTGTGGGCGAGAAGGAGGCAGGAGCCACTGGAGGCACCTTGGAAGGCCCTTGTCTTTGTTTCAGGGTCTTGACCAGTTTCAACTTCTTTTCAATTGCGTCAGGTAACTGCTTCAACTAAAATTCCCCGTGCCCGCTGTGTCTCGGTGGCGGCATAATATATCAGAACTTCGAAGAACCTTCCACGCATTTGACAAGGTTCGTGGCACAGCTGTAGAGGCACTCCCAGTCACATTCTCTTTTCAGAACCTGAATGATGCCCCCTATTTTGTGCAATCGATTGACCCAACATACATGAAAGCCCAAGTTCCGGGTCAATTTGCACAACTGACGCTGGCCAATGTCACAGCTCAAAGGTTTTTCTCGGCGCGTGCCCACGCTCAAGTGCATGGGTTCTGACACACACCAGGTGTAGTCTATCGATAAGGACAAGCCAGGAAGTCGCTGGTCATACCTTCCATCTAAATCGCTAACTAGGAACAAGGACGCTACTAGTAGCTAACCGCCACGCCCACCACGGAGCGCCCTCCCCTCGTCCGCGCCGCACGACGTGGAGCGCTCCACTGGGACCGGGCGGATGACCGACGCAGCGACCGGTTCGGCGCGACCCGGTGTGAGGTTGGACTTTTGAGAGGTCGGAAGATGACCTTTGAAGAATTCATGGTCAACGATCCACAATGGTCCCTTTAGCCCGAAAGTATTCAATCATCCAGTTCCCTGGCTCGATGTGAAACGCAGCAAAATGCGTGATCAGAGGCGAAACCAGCTCCTAAATCCAAGGTGCTGCTCTCCAATTGGTGGGCTCTGCGTCGCATGGGTTCAAGCGGAACAGGGCCGACCGTGTCAAACCATCAAAGCCTAAACGAAGTTCTCAAAGGATCAACACTTCGGACTGAAGGATTGACGGAAGGCAGCTTAAGGGCGGTCAGGGCTGTCACATCCCTTTTTGGTCGTATTTATGCAACCTTTGGGTTGCGTGCACGGTTCGATTGCAGTGGTACTTGTTGCATCTTTTTGCAGAAGTTCACCTTTGAAATCTTGGGACCCCATAGCCGTAGCCTATCGAGACTCAGCAAAGAACTCTATCGCCTTTTGTGGCCATGGGAGCAAGAACGCTTAGCCTTTCGAGCAAGCACGCCGAACATCGGCTTCGCTGAACATCGGCTTCGCCTCTCCGTTCAGCAACGGCACCGACCGTGGTCAAGACTGCACCGACCTCCAGCGACGGTCTTCCGTCTTCGGAAGACGGACACAACGAGGGCCCTTCCGTCTTCCGGGAATCCCACAGTTCTTTGGCGACAGGAA